TCTTGAGGAACATCTGGGTCTGCCTGGGTTGAGGAACTTCTGGGGAGAACATTGGGGTCCAGGTGGGCTGGAGAACTTTGGGGGGGCATCTGGAAGAAGGTTTTGGTCCATCTGGGCTGGGGAACTTCTGGGGAGAACATTGAGGTCCATCTGGGTTGGGGAACTTCTGGGGAGACCCTCTGGGTCTACCTGGGTTGGGGGACTTCTGGGGAGACCCTCTTGGTCCACCTGGGCTGGAGAACTTCTGGGGAGAACATTGGGGTCCATCTGGGTTGGGGAACTTCTGGGGAGACCCTCTTGGTCCATCTGGGCTGGAGAACTTCTGGGAGACCCTCTCGGTTCACCTGGGTTGGGGGACTTATGGGGAGACCCTGTGGATCCAGGTGGGCTGGGGAACTTTTGGGGAGACACTGTGGGTCTACCTGGGTTGGGGAACTTTTGGGGAGACCCTCTTGGTCCATCTGGGCTGGAGAACTTTTGGGGAGACCCTCTTGGTTCACCTGGGTTGGGGGACTTATGGGGAGAACATTGGGGTCCATCTGGGCTGGACTGATTCTGGGGTCATCTTGAAGACCCTCTTGGTCCACCTGGGTTGGGGAAACATCTGGCTCCATCTTGGGGAAACATCTGGGTCCATCTGGGGAAACATCTGGGTCCATATTGGGGAACATCTGGGTCCATCTCAGGAAACATCTGGGTCCATCTTGGGGAACATCTGGGTCCATCTCGGGGAACATCTGGGTCCATCTTGGGGAACATCTGGGTCTATTTGGGGGAAACATCTGGATCCATCTTGGAGGAACATCTGGGTCCATCTTGGGGAACATCTGGGTCCATCTTGGGGAAACATCTGGGTCCATCTTGAGGAAACATCTGGGTGGGAGAAACTCCGGCTCAAACACCTGGAGAACATCTGGAGAACATCAAGCTCCACCTTTGGGTGCAGATGGGGGTTAGGGTCTCTTTGAGGGGCTCTGGGTGGAGAAACCAGGTGCTCAGAGACCTCCTGGGCACCGGGACGTCCCCGTGAGCTTGGGGACACTTTGGTGACCTGGTGGTGTCCCCACCCCACCCCACCCCAAGCTCTACTTGGCCATTGCCCTCATCGCCGTCGTGGTCGTCACCGGCTGCTTCGGGTACTACCAGGAGTTCAAGAGCACCAACATCATTGCCAGCTTCAAGAACCTGGTCCCTCAGGTGAGGACAACCCGCCCGGATGCCTGGGTCCCCCTCCCGGATGCCTGGGTTCCCCCCCAGAACTCCTGGGTGCTGCCCTTGGCCACCTAGAACCCCCTTGGCCATTTGGGTTCCTCCTCAACCCTTGGGTTCCCCATGAACCCCAAAGTTCCTCCTCAACCCTTGGGTTCCTCCTCAACATCTGGGGCCTCCCATGGACTCCTGGCTCCTCCCGGACGCCTGGGTCCCCCACCCGGATGCCTGGGTCCCCCCTGGATGCCTGGGTTCCTCCCAGAACTCCTGGGTCCCCCCCTTGGCCACCTAGAAGCCCCTTGGCCACCTGGGTCCCCCTTAACCACTTGGGTTCCTCCTCAACCCTTGGGTTCCCCATGAACATCAAGGTTCCTCCTCAACATCTGGGGCCTCTCATGGACTCCTGGCTCCTCCCGGACGCCTGGGTCCTCCCCTGGACTCCTGGGTCCCCCTCCCAGACTCCAGGGTCCCCCCTGGACACCTGGGTCCCCCTTGACCACTTGGGTTCCTCCTCAACCCTTGGGTTCCCCATCAACCCTTGGTCTCCTCCTCAACCCTTGGGTTCCTCCTCAACATCTGGGCCCCCCCTGAACTCCTGGCTCCTCCCGGATGCCTGGGTCCTCCCCCGGACGCCTGGGTCCCCCTCCTTGTCCCCTCCCAGCAAGCCACAGTGATCCGAGAAGGTGAGAAGCTCCAGATCAACGCCAACGAGGTGGTGGTGGGAGACCTGGTGGAGATCAAGGGAGGGGACCGAGTCCCCGCCGACAGCAGCATCATCTCAGCCCAGGGCTGCAAGGTGGGTGGTGGGCTGGGCACCTGGGCACCTCTGGGTGCCCCACCCGGACGCCTGGGTCCTCCCCCGGATGCCTGGGTTCCTCCCCCGGATGCCTGGGTTCCACTTGGACGCCTGGGTCCACCTTGGCCACTTGGGTTCCGCATCAGCCCTTGGGTTCCTCATCAATCCCAAAGGTTCCTCCTCAACATCTGTGGCCTCCCATGGAGTCCTGGCTCCTCCCAGATGCCTGGGTCCTCCCCCGGATGCCTGGGGCCTCCCCCGAACTCCTGGGTCCTCCCCCGAACTCCTGGGTCCCCCCCCGGTCACCTAGAACTCCCTTGACCTCTTGGGTTCCTCCTCAACATCTGTGGCCCCCCATGGACTCCTGGCTCCTCCCGGATGCCTGGGTCCTCCCCCGGATGCCTGGGGCCTCCCCCGAACTCCTGGGTCCTCCCCCGAACTCCTGGGTCCCCCCCCGGTCACCTAGAACTCCCTTGACCTCTTGGGTTCCTCCTCAACATCTGTGGCCCCCCATGGACTCCTGGCTCCTCCCGGATGCCTGGGTCCTCCCCCGGATGCCTGGGTCCTCCCCAGAACTCCTGGGTCCTCCCCAGAACTCCTGGGTCCTCCCCTTGGCCACCTGGGTCCCCCTGGACGACTTGGGTTTCTCCTCAACCCTTGGGTTCCCCATGAACATCAAGGTTCCTCCTCAACTTCTGGGGCCTCCCTTGGACTCCTGGGTCTTCCCGGACGCCTGGGTCCTCCTCAGAACTCCTGGGTCCTCCCCTGGACACCTGGGTCCCCCCTTGGCCACCTGGGTCCCCCTTGGGTCCCACCTGGACATCTAAGTCCACCTTGACCACTTGGGTTCCTCCTCAACCCTTGGGTTCCTCCTCAACATCTGGGACCTCCCATGGACTCCTGGCTCCTCCCGGATGCCTGGGTCCTCCTCCGGACGCCTGGGTCTTCCCCAGAACTCCTGGGTCCTCCCCAGAACTCCTGGGTCCTCCCCCTTGGGTTCCTCCTCAACTTCTGGGACCTCCCATGGACTCCTGGCTCCTCCCGGATGCCTGGGTCCCCCACCCGGACGCCGGGGTCCCCCCCTGGACCCCCTGGTCTCATCTCCTGCCTCCATCTCTAGGTGGACAACTCGTCCTTGACCGGGGAGTCGGAGCCACAGTCCAGGTCACCTGAGTGTACCCACGAGTCCCCCCTGGAGACCCGTAACATTGCCTTCTTCTCCACCATGTGCCTGGAAGGTGAGGCCCTCCCGGATGCCTGGGTCCCCCTCCCGGATGCCTGGGTCCTCCCTTGGCCACCTAGATCCCCCTGGGCCACCTGGGTCCCAGCTTGGCCACCTAGATCCCCTCTGGCCACTTGGGTTCCTCCTCAACCTTTGGGTTCCTCCTCAACTTCTGGGGCCACCCATGGACTCATGGGTCTTCCCGGATGCCTGGGTCTCCCACCCGGATGCCTGGGTCCTCCCCCAGACACCTGGGTCTTCCCCCGGATGCCTGGGTCCCCCCTTGGCCACCTGGGTCCCCCTTGACCACTTGGGTTTCTCCTCAACCTTTGGGTTTCCCATGAATCCCAAAGTTCCTCCTCAACATCTGGGGCCACCCATGGACTCCTGGCTCCTCCCGGACGCCTGGGTCCCCCTCCCGGATGCCTGGGTCCTCCCTTGGCCACCTAGATCCCCCTGGGCCACCTGGGTCCCAGCTTGGCCACCTAGATCCCCTCTGGCCACTTGGGTTCCTCCTCAACCCTTGGGTTCCTCCTCAACTTCTGGGGCCACCCATGGACTCCTGGGTCTTCCCGGATGCCTGGGTCTCCCACCCGGATGCCTGGGTCCTCCCCCAGAACTCCTGGGTCCTCCCCTGGACACCTGGGTCCCCCCTTGGCCACCTGGGTCCCCCTTGACCACTTGGGTTCCTCATGAACCCTTGGGTTCCCCATGAACCCCAAAGTTCCTCCTCAACATCTGAGGCCACCCATGGACTCCTGGGTCCTCCCGGACGCCTGGGTCCCCCTCCCGGATGCCTGGGTCCTCCC